AATAATTGCATTCTGTTTGTATTTTACACAGCATGTCAACTTTTTTGGAAACATTGTTGTAGTATTATATATAACTACAAAGTATCATATATAACTACATATGCAACGTATATCACTATACATTTTATTCTTCACATTTTCCAGTCCAAGATCCCCACTAAAGGGAGACCCTGACATTTTGCCTATATTTGTAGCGCCTTAGCTACGTTGCTACCTGCTCAATCCCCCATGTGCTGAGGCTCTGCTTTACGTGAGGATGTCAGAGGGGCAGAAAACGCCGCCCTTTCCATCAGGGTCTGGGGCCTGCAAGCTGGACTCAGCAAAGACGCTGCTTTTCAGGCAAAGCCTGTGGTATTCGCTAATCCCCGTATTACCAGCTACACCAGTTAGCCCCATCCCCCTTTGCCCTACACCCAGTTTGACCATATTGTCCCTCCATTTAAATCAGGTCAAACTTAAGCAGAGGATAATGTGCAAAGTATAAAATGACATTTCCTGAAAATGGATATGAAAAAAAAATATTATTTAATTAACAATCATGTAATACATATTTCTTTTGTTACAATTCAGAAGAGAACATGACATTTATATTTCAGAAAAAAATAACTCCATAATTATGTTTTTGCAGCTGAACTAATATCACCAACAATGTTTGATTAATAATTGCATAAAACGTCTGATATTTTTGGTAAAAACAGTGGAATCATACAGTGCTTACCTAATTTTTGGTATTATATTACAATCATGTAATTTTTATACTGTTGTTTCCGAACTCAATCAATAATTGAAAATATATAGATGGTTTCCATCTATTTTCAGTCACCACCACAAACCTGATATGGGTTGTTAAAGCATTGCTTATCAGTTTCGTTTTCTTTCCTTTGAGGATCTATTTACATTATTGCTTGCGAGTGAGTAGAGGGAGAGACACTGTGTTAAACATTGTGTATACAGAGCATGAGTCAGGAATTAAAATCTTCTGTGTGCTTTCTGCAGACTGACCTGCTGTTTCCCATTACAAAAGTAACAGATTTAATGAACAAACTGGAACAACAGGCAAAGGTCAACACTTTTCATATATATATATATATATTTAATTTTCTAGGGTGACTCACAGAAAGAACTATGGGTCAGAAACTTAAAACCCACAATGAATGACGCACGCCTAGAAAGGGTGGAGTTAGGGCTGGGTTTGGAGGAGATTCAGGTCAGGAATATGAGAAACAGGGCCCTAGAAGCATCAGCTATGAGTGAGCTAATCGCCACAAGACAGCGTGACATCGTTATGAAGTGAGCCCAGCTTTCTGTACATGAGGCTACCGCTCATTGCTGATAGATGCTGACTCACCACATTCAAAGCAGCCCAAGATGTAGGGGGTGATAATCTGCTTGCTGTCAATCATTAACAGCTTTGTAGATATCATCGATCATGTACTAAGAAAGTGGGAGAGGGACATAGGGCAGCATAAGATATGACGTTAAGCTATTTATCTGTGCAATATGCATTTGCGTCCCCCTGGTGGCCGAGGGTAACGAAACACGTCACAAATGCAACACTCGTCAGGGTGCTCGCATGCATAAGCTGGTCACCAGACACCACAGAACATGCGCTAAAAAGCAGCCGTAGACTTACTTGAGCCATGTGATTAGGTTTACTGTTATCCTGATCTGGATAACACTGGAAAAAGGTTTGGGCTGTTTCCCTATGAGAGGAATCCAAAGTTGAAAAAAAAATAGGAGTGGAAAAAACATAAGATTTTTTGGAAAGTCCATAGAGAGACATGATGCGAGGTGGGAGAACTCTGGGGTAAGCTGTGGTTTCTCTTAGAGGAACGAGCACCGACAATGTGGCGAGTTGTGGGATTTGATGGGGCAACTATGGACGGCTTCTTCAAAAACTGCTAGTGTCTTCTAAGTCAGCAATAATATAGGCTTCTGTCCACACAGTGTGCCCCCACAGATCAATACCTCTGGGAAATATGCAACTTCACAAGACATACAAGACTCCTCACAGTTCAAAGACACAGGAAACCAGGAGCGTGAGGGTCTGTGATCGTCTACACATTAAAGCTCATTGTGCAAATCCAGGACCCAGAAATCGAAATATTCCCAGAAACAAGAAGTGAGAACTTCCTTGTTAGAAGAGCAACCCACAGGCATGTAAGCATGCTTGCGTTACTGTGAAAAGACCCTGAAGCACACTGGGATTTAAAATGGCACTCCATCAAGTAACGTGTGACTGAGAAACATTTCTTGGACTGACTATTTGGTTACTTTTTCAAGCATTCTATGACTGTCAAAATAAAATGAAACATAACAATTATAAATGCACACCTTCAACTTTCCCCCATGTCTGTCAAGCCAGGCCTCAAGCCAAAGGTTCTGTCCCTATTAGACAAGAATATTTCAGTCTTGTGTCTTGGCATCACATGCACTGATCCAGAGGCACTGAGGCTTTGTGCCAGGCCTGAGTGGGACATCTCTTGTCTTGGGGCTGGGGAAAGAATTTGTGATGCTGTTTGTGGTTACCCTGAGCTCCCGCTAGTGTACTTAGCCAGGATATACTTTTGGATTAAGGAAGTGCTCCTTCCAGCACTAATGGTAGGGAGTATCCCTCCTAAAACTAAGACGAGGTTAAGTGGAAAAACTGCCCAGACAAGGCTGTTCTCGAGTCAGCGTGGGAGCAGACCTCTGTAAAGGTCATAAAACCTTTGGAGAATCCGAAAGCGCATTCCTTCAGAAGTTCTCAAATTCCAATACCCGAGATAGAGCTGGGAGCTCTCAGGAGCTCTATCAACTACCCACCCTTTTTCTAATAATAACAAAAAAAAGAGAGGACAGAAAGAACAGAGTAATTGACCAGAGTGAACATACCCAGGCAAGAATGGTAATCCGGAGGAGTGACTGGACAAACATCACCCAGGTAACTTCATTGATCTGAATTTGGGGACTGGAACACTATGGGATACCCCAGAATAATCCCAGAGCAAGCAAGAGAAATTTAGAATGGAAAATCATACATAGAACATGAGATAACTGCAGATGACGAGTCATTAACCACGCAGTCTCAAACCAATGGCCCTCACCCACCAAGAAGAGGTCAGATTGCCATGGGTGGCCTAGTGATTCAAGGAAGCAGAAACCTTATAATATGTGCCTCATTTGCAGATACACATTTCAACAAGGTCAGTAAACATATTCAAGGTCAGATTCAGCTTATATCAGTTTCTAGGCCTATGCATCTGGCAGCAGGATAGTTTGAGCAAACCATGCTTGCTTTAGAGTGTTGAAAAATACCTGCATGACGCGACATGCTTGTACAAGGGCAGAAACGTGAGAATTTCTCCGAGTCAGGGGCTGATGCAGGCTTAAAGTAACAGACTCCTAATCAAGGCAAGCATTTTAATGACAATGAAATTCGGTGGTGATCCTGGCAGCAGCATTACAATGTTGTGAAACTGGGTTGGGGGGGGGGGGGCACATGCACCCACTGAAGCTCCACCATTACAGACTGTTAAAGCCATACTTGCCTTAGAGGCGGAGGAATGGCAGCATGGTACAAAGGAAAGCAAAAATGCAATGCTTGCTTATTTTAAATCTCCCATTTGCACACATGGGATCGTCACATTTTAGTCACATGAAGCCACCATGGTAAATGTGCAAGAATACTAAGGTTGGTAACCATAATGCTTAAAACCTAATGCATACTACTGCTACTCTAAAAGCACATGATTTCCACTAAGGTCATTCTTCAGATAGTTTGTCTGGGTATCACGTGGTTTGCTGCAGGACAACACACACCACTTGCTACACTGCTGTGTGAAACATCATTCTCCCAGCCAGTCCTCTGACATCACCTGCAGAGGGGACAGTTCCAAGTGTCCCATTAAGCCACCAGAAGACTTAAAGTGCCTATCAACCTCAGGGTACAGAGAGAGAGAGAGTTGTGGGGTTTTCACACAAGTTATCCTTACAAACACAGACTAACCTCATCTAAACACAGCTAGCAAAGGCTGGTATTTATACATCGCCACCTGGTGGTTATCAAGTGGCACAAGACTTACTTGATCGAAACATGTCTGCAATCACACTGACAATGTTCGATAGTTTTTTGTAACATTAGAACAATGTCCATAAATCCAAATTTCATGCTTTTTACCACCAGTTGAAAAAAAAAGGCACACTCAAAGTGTCTCCGGGGAACATGAATGCACATTGCATAGATAAGTGCAGAAGAGCTCCTGTCCAATGCTGTCCTACGTCCCTCTTAGTACATGATTTATACTGGGCCAATAAAATAGCCAGTAATACTTCGTCAGCTATTTCCACTGGCTTTATAACGTTTCTATGTTATTGTAAAATAAAAGCTGAAGTCATCCATTGACATATCTTGCCAGTCATGCGTAAAGCTTGATAGCATTTCCCCTACAAGACAGAGAGAGTCGGGGTATACTTCACAGATGTGCACATTGGCAGATACCTCTGGGACAGCAGGAGAACCAGTTCTTCTAAATGACATTTCAGTTACAGGTGGTCAACCACAAGATGCATACGCTTTAATAACTCCCACTCGTACTTCAAAATGGGGGCCCCCCTCCTCAGCAAATCCAGTCTGTGACACAGAAGTGGAGCCTGCCAAAGGAGAGGCTAATCGTCATGGTGATTCATGCTTCATATGAGTATTCAAGCAAATGTTTTGAGATGAAAGCAAGCCAAGCTAATATTCCCTAATTGTGTGGACAACATTTAGGTTGAATATTGTTGATGGCAGCCTTTTAAGCAATTTCTCTGCATGAGAGAACATGCAGGTCAATCTATGCTTAAGGCAGGAACATTTGTCTTTAGCTAATCAGCATTACTCATAGTCCATCACCTCTGTAGTATTAAAACCTAAAGCTTTTTCAAACCCACTTTGAGTTCTAAGCTGCATAAAGTTGCTTTCAGAAACCATTTGGTGCTTCATTGGTGTACAGAAATTCAAGGAAAACCCAACAAGCAGACAATGTTTAATTTTTATTAAAGCAAGCAATGTTCAATCCAGATTACTCCAATGGTCAGATATGATTTTCCCCACCACTGAAAGGAGCCAATATTTAAAGCATCCACACAATAAAACTAATAAAAAGGAATGATTGTGGTCCAGTGACATGTGTCACACCGATGTCATTTTTCTTCGTTTTCTTATTTTTCTCTCTCTCTCTTTTTTTTAATTTTACAATTAACTAGGCCTACCGTAACATTATTAGACCTGGCAAAAAAATCATGTTTTTCTTTCTTTTCCTTTTTTTTTTTTTAAAGTCATTTTCTTTTTGCAATGTTTTATTTTTTCCCCCAACTGTTTTTCTTGGTGAAGCTAAAGGGGCAGCAAGACCTGCAAGGAAATGAGAGTCAGTGACCAACTTCCTCGCAGACATGGCAGCTCAACTTTTACTACAAAAGAAATAACGTCCCACACACCAAATGCAGAAGTACCATAAAGTCTGTAGAGGAATCAATTTCTGCTTCAGCGGGCTCACCTCTGCCTAGACGCTCGGCACACTGGCTGAGTTGGTCACCGATTTCTGAGCAGCTTCCTTGGCC